GGCTTCTGTTCCATTCAAAATGTTCCGATTTCTTCGTAAGGTATACGTACGTTTAATTATTTGTTATATAAAAGTAATTTAATAACTCTCAGCTTTATTAAATAGGCTATTCTTGAGCAAGAACGTTGCTTGTTGCACACTGGTTGCCTTTAATTCTTTAATTTGTTACAATTTATATTGTTCATGTCATCATTATTTTGTTTCAAGGTTAATTTTTGAACCTTGGGCTCTGAATTTCCATCCTAATTGTAGTCTAGTTAGAATGCCACAAAAGATATTGCGTACCCCCTAAAAATGCAGCAGATTTTCAGAAATTCTATAGCATATCCTGTGAGCTGATCATACCCAGTATTTATTACAATATATTATACATGCATTATTATGAATCTATCATACCTAGGGAATTTAAAACCAAATATTGTTCTTCATACAATGATTAAATAAAGATATTTTTCTCAATAAGGAAGGTCTGTACTGCTGTAGCAATTGAGCAAAAGCATGTAGCAGTTTAACTTTAGTTTTACATTTCTTTCAGATACACCTGGGACTGTAAATATGATAATCTTTTTATTATGCCAATACCTCCAGAAACAATAGAGAAATCAGTCTCAAGTTAAAATTATACAGTCCTGTATTCTGGATCAGTAAACAACTTGGCATGTTGCATTATAATGAAGAGTCTATAATATAATGAAATACTCAAGAATGGAATAGTATGGTTGGAGAAGTGCATTGCTCATTAATTATGTGATAAAAAGTAATCACGTTAAAGAATCAAGAATCACACATGGCCTGACTAATAACAATGTCCTGTTTGAATAAGTGTAATATCATTTATACTTTCATGCTTGAATTACTTGATAGGCTGATGTGTAGAATGACACATTATTGAAATCAATAAAGGTTTTAAGGAAATTGCAATTCATTTTATGGTACCACTGGGAGGTTGTGCAGGGCACAGAGTAAAACTTTTCCAGGGGAACCATAGGACATCATAATTATTAAATCGGAGAAGGTGTTTTACAATTTATTACACTTTAGGGACGGACCATTTGATTTTTGATGGGGGGGGGGTAGATTTTCAGTTTGCTCGATATTTTTTTTCCGCCTCCTGACACTGTTCGATTTTTTTTTGTCAGTCAGAGGACTTGCACGATATTTTTTTGTATGCATGTATATACATTTTTTAGTTTTTTGTTTTTACATTTTCTGGTATATAATAGGTATTAAATTGGACAAGTACTGGTGTAAGACATTGTGTATCCTAAATAATGAGAGGACCAGTATTCAAAAAATGGTTATTCTTCATTTCTTTACTCCGACTCCTATGATGAACATGTACGTAAAAAAACTAGGGAAACTACGATTATATATAGAAACTAAAGTAGGTGAAATTTTTATGGGACTCCATAAAAGGTGAGGATATAAGAGTGAGATATTGAAATTGAGTAGGAAAGGCAACCCTACACGCGTTTCGACCTAACAGTCTTCTTCAGCAGGGTTTTTTACAGGGGTAAAGGGGAAATATAGAATTTGCAGAGGAGAAGGAAGGAGAGTTTAGGAGATCGGAAAATAATGTGAACTTGGATCCTCTACGTAGCAAAATCCACACCAGAACTAGCTATACACCAATATAGCTAGCTAGTTCTGGTGTGGATTTTGCTACGTAGAGGATCCAAGTTCACATTATTTTCCGAACTCCTAAACTCTCCTGTCTTCTCTCCTGCAAATTCTATATCGTATCATTCATTTACTAATCTCTGTTTTGGTTTTGTTATATATGTACATGTTTTAGTTATTATTGTATATTCATATATTTTAAACAAAAATCAAACCCTGCACGGTGTTATCATTATTTTTATCCCTTATGTATCTCTAATTGCCAAACGCCCCTATCCCTGTCTTATAAGCTCCTACACCACTAACACCATATTTGGATGCAATCACCTACAGTCACATGATCACCCTTACCATCACAATCATTCAAACTCACTATACCATTGAGTAAGTTAACCCTTAATTAAAGGACCTGCAAATTTGCTTCACTTCACCAATACGAACAATGAACAATAAAGTGCGTAGTGTTGGAATGTCCCGCAAACAACAAGACCTTTGGTAGGATAACTTGACTAATAACATGTATGGTAGTTACATCCTTTCACGGTGTAATTGGTTATTTTCAGTTATTTCGTAATAATTCGTTTTCCTCTTGGTCTCACATTATTTTCCAAACTCCTATAAACTCTCCTTCCTTGCCCTCTTCAAATTATATCTACCCCCCCCCCCCTTAAAAAACCCTGCTGAAGAAAACTGTTAGGTCGAAACGCATACCCCTGTACGCTATTCCTACTCAATTTCAATCTCTCGCTCTTATATCCTCGAATAAAAATTTCACCTATTTTAGTTTCTACGGCCGTGATTTAATCGTAGTTTTCCTAGTTTTTTACGTACATGTTCATCATAGGAGTCGGAGTAAAGAAATAAAGAACAACCATTTTTGGAATTATACTGGTCCTCCCATTATTTAG